ACTGCGTCTGCCTCACTGCGTCTGCCTCACTGCGTCTGCCTCACTGCGTCTGTCTGTCTCACTGCGTCTGCCTCACTGCGTCTGCCTCACTGCGTCTGCCTCACTGCGTCTGTCTGTCTCACTGCGTCTGCCTCACTGCGTCTGTCTGTCTCACTGCGTCTGTCTCACTGCGTCTGCCTCACTGCGTCTGCCTCACTGCGTCTGTCTGTCTCACTGCGTCTGCCTCACTGCGTCTGTCTCACTGCGTCTGTCTCACTGAGTCTGTCTCACTGCGTCTGCCTCACTGCGTCTGTCTCACTGCGTCTGTCTGTCTCACTGCGTCTGTCTGTCTCACTGCGTCTGTCTGTCTCACTGCGTCTGTCTGTCTCACTGCGTCTGTCTCACTGCGTCTGTCTGTCTCACTGCGTCTGTCTGTCTCACTGCGTCTGTCTCACTGCGTCTGCCTCACTGCGTCTGCCTCACTGCGTCTGCCTCACTGCGTCTGCCTCACTGCGTCTGTCTCACTGCGTCTGTCTCACTGCGTCTGCCTCACTGCGTCTGCCTCACTGCGTCTGCCTCACTGCGTCTGCCTCACTGCGTCTGTCTCACTGCGTCTGTCTCACTGCGTCTGTCTGTCTCACTGCGTCTGTCTGTCTCACTGCGTCTGTCTCACTGCGTCTGTCTGTCTCACTGCGTCTGTCTGTCTCACTGCGTCTGTCTGTCTCACTGCGTCTGTCTCACTGCGTCTGCCTCACTGCGTCTGCCTCACTGCGTCTGTCTCACTGCGTCTGTCTCACTGCGTCTGCCTCACTGCGTCTGCCTCACTGCGTCTGTCTCACTGCGTCTGCCTCACTGCGTCTGCCTCACTGCGTCTGCCTCACTGCGTCTGTCTCACTGCGTCTGTCTCACTGAGTCTGTCTCACTAAGTCTGTCTCACTGCGTCTGTCTCACTGAGTCTGTCTCACTGCGTCTGTCTCACTGCGTCTGTCTCACTGCGTCTGTCTCACTGCGTCTGCCTCACTGCGTCTGTCTCACTGCGTCTGCCTCACTGCGTCTGTCTCACTGCGTCTGCCTCACTGCGTCTGCCTCACTGCGTCTGTCTCACTGAGTCTGTCTCACTGAGTCTGTCTCACTGCGTCTGTCTCACTGCGTCTGCCTCACTGCGTCTGCCTCACTGCGTCTGCCTCACTGCGTCTGTCTCACTGCGTCTGCCTCACTGCGTCTGCCTCACTGCGTCTGCCTCACTGCGTCTGTCTCACTGCGTCTGTCTCACTGCGTCTGCCTCACTGCGTCTGCCTCACTGCGTCTGTCTCACTGCGTCTGTCTGTCTCACTGCGTCTGCCTCACTGCGTCTGTCTCACTGCGTCTGTCTCACTGCGTCTGTCTGTCTCACTGCGTCTGTCTGTCTCACTGCGTCTGTCTCACTGCGTCTGCCTCACTGCGTCTGCCTCACTGCGTCTGCCTCACTGCGTCTGCCTCACTGCGTCTGTCTCACTGCGTCTGTCTCACTGCGTCTGCCTCACTGCGTCTGCCTCACTGCGTCTGTCTCACTGCGTCTGTCTCACTGAGTCTGTCTCACTGCGTCTGCCTCACTGCGTCTGCCTCACTGCGTCTGCCTCACTGCGTCTGCCTCACTGCGTCTGCCTCACTGCGTCTGTCTCACTGCGTCTGTCTCACTGCGTCTGCCTCACTGCGACTGCCTCACTGCGTCTGTCTCACTGCGTCTGTCTGTCTCACTGCGTCTGCCTCACTGCGTCTGTCTCACTGCGTCTGTCTGTCTCACTGCGTCTGTCTGTCTCACTGCGTCTGTCTCACTGCGTCTGCCTCACTGCGTCTGCCTCACTGCGTCTGTCTCACTGCGTCTGTCTCACTGCGTCTGCCTCACTGCGTCTGCCTCACTGCGTCTGTCTCACTGCGTCTGTCTCACTGAGTCTGTCTCACTAAGTCTGTCTCACTGCGTCTGTCTCACTGCGTCTGTCTCACTGCGTCTGTCTCACTGCGTCTGTCTGTCTCACTGCGTCTGTCTCACTGCGTCTGCCTCACTGCGTCTGCCTCACTGCGTCTGTCTGTCTCACTAAGTCTGTCTCACTGCGTCTGTCTCACTGCGTCTGTCTCACTGCGTCTGTCTGTCTCACTGCGTCTGTCTCACTGCGTCTGCCTCACTGCGTCTGCCTCACTGCGTCTGTCTGTCTCACTGCGTCTGTCTCACTGCGTCTGTCTGCCTCACTGCGTCTGCCTCACTGCGTCTGTCTCACTGCGTCTGTCTGCCTCACTGCGTCTGCCTCACTGCGTCTGCCTCACTGCGTCTGTCTCACTGCGTCTGCCTCACTGCGTCTGCCTCACTGCGTCTGTCTCACTGCGTCTGCCTCACTGCGTCTGTCTCACTGCGTCTGTCTCACTGCGTCTGTCTGTCTCACTGCGTCTGTCTCACTGAGTCTGTCTCACTGCGTCTGTCTCACTGCGTCTGTCTCACTGCGTCTGCCTCACTGCGTCTGCCTCACTGCGTCTGCCTCACTGCGTCTGTCTCACTGCGTCTGCCTCACTGCGTCTGTCTCACTGCGTCTGTCTCACTGCGTCTGTCTCACTGCGTCTGTCTCACTGCGTCTCTAATTATATATAATTATATATATAAATATATAATTTTGATATTTCCAGAAAAGACAGAATTCAGCCTCTGCAGACCATTGACATGCACTAACACCTATAGAACTACAGGAGAGGAACACCACAGAAGAAGAACAGGGCCTCTTTAAAGTGAGGACGAACACTTTGATGAGTCAGTGGACAAACCCATGGTTCTATTGTCTTTAGTTAAAGACTGCAGATCTCCAACATGCGGCGTCTCCATCCTTTGATCTGATGTTGAGGAAGAGGAGCAGTGTGACGAAGAGCGGCCTCGCTCTCCAGAGATTAGTAGATGATATGAAACAGATAGTCAGTGTGTTTCCTCCGGCTGCTTCTCTCTGCTGGACAAACACAAACTGTCCCGCTCTCACATTATCCACAGGACCTGATTAATCCTGTTCCTCCGTCACGCTGAGCCAGCTGGACCTGAACACAACAGAGAGCTGCAGGGTCCTATTCCCCTGCTGGTCCCTGAAGGCAGCATCTCCTGCTCCAGGTGGTTCTTGTTGATGATGCACATGGAGCTGCTGTGATGATAGAAACATGTCAGACTCGATCTGAGGATAAAGGATGAGATTCAGATTCAAAGGTGTTCTCATCAGACGCTCAGCAGCTACAGAGTAGAAATGGAAAGGAACGTCTTCTGACCTGAGCTCCTCCAACAATGCAACATATATCATACAATACAAATAAATAATAGTGCAAGAAGTCTATATACACGTAAATAGAATATGATATGTTCAAGAACAGAATGTCAAATGTAATATTGTACAGTAAGACAAAATTAAATACGGTTTATTGCGTGATAACTATTTATATAAGTAATTAGCAAACAGATGAATGTTGTGGATGTTCTTCACAGAGGTGTTTAACAGTCGTATGGTCTGTGGGAGGAAACTGACCATCAGACCGTACGAAAACCCAAGTTCTGATCTTTTCAGAAACCAACAAGAGGCCAACAACTCCAGTGTGTTTGCTCCTGTGAGGCAGAGGAGATACATCCATCCGTTTAGACCTCAAGAGCTCTGAAAGAATATCATATTATACGGTTACATGCCGCTTTACAGAAGCACTTAAACTGCATGTCCCACAATGCATCTCATTCTAAGACATGAACACTGAAGAGACTTGCAATGATTTGCCCTAGACTTCTGCTCTCAGACGTAGTTCATTATGAAGTTATTACCCTATCAGAGGCAATACTGTAATATAATACATGATTTGATATCTATTTATTTATAAATGTATATTTATATATGTACTTAATGCTGATGTGGCCCGTGATGAAACTGAGTTTGACCCCTGCTTTAGACCTTCCTCTCTGCTCTCTCATGAAGAACGTATACACTCTGACCCCTCAGGTCATTGGTTGTTGTCTTTCTGTTCTTTTGAACCTTTTTGGGGACCAAACATCTTTCTGGAAATCTCCAAATCCTGATTTTCCATCTGAAAACCCTTTCAGATCATTATGGGGTGTCAAACAGCTGAAAGGTGCACAGCGCCCCCTGCTGGGTGCACCGTCACTGAGTCTTGAAACCCTCCTCTCAGCCCTGCCTCACACACTGTCTGTAATAATAGAGCTATGGTGAACTCAATCCACAGACAGTATGATCTTCTCTGTCACTTCCATCAGGATGCAAAGGGTTCTCATCAGACGCTACAGAGGGGAGATCTGAAGTCCTCAACATCAATATCTATAACACATCAAACAAATACTAACCAGGTAAATGCAGGAGTCTGTAAACATGTAAACAGAATCAGGTAAACAACAACAGAAGGTTGGTTATTGTAGTGATCAACTGATGAGCCCGTGAGTTCCTCTCTGACTTCTGTAACTATAACACATTTGATTTATGCTCTTTATCAGGTTCAGAGACCCTTCACTCCGGTACCTCTTACCTGTCGTCCAATCAGCTGCAGTCTGATATCTGACCCTGTTGGAGAGCCCTATAACTAAGAACATGTACTCTCTCTGTCCTGAGCCCAATATCACAAATGTTACATTTGTCTCAGTGGACTTCACAACATCAAAACAAATACAAAAATATAGCAGTATTCACATTGAAGTCTGTATGTAGTTGAGTATTATATATTACTTTATACTTTTACTCCACTACATTTATTTTATGTAATGACTTACTTTGCAGTTGCTTTATATTTAAACCTCCACCAGGACTGGTGAGAGGAATCCCCCCCCCCACACACACACACACGCACACACGCACGCACGCACGCACGCACACACACGTCCTGTTCATTGCGTTGCTCTGATCTCTGCTCTTCCAGGACAGCAGGGAGTGGTAACGCACCTCAAACGTTATGTGCCACCCACCGTCAAACCAAAGGAGGAAGAAAAACTACATTACCCAGAACCCTTCCCTCTCGGCGCATGCGCAGTTCCATCATAGCGACGACGTTCTGTTTTCAGTAGCAACCGATGCTCCGGATTCAATAAAGCGGTTTAAAAGGTAAGAAATGATTAAAAAGAGAGCATTTCAAACCTTTAACTGTGTTTTAATATCAAACCAGACACATACGGTCACTCTGGCGGTTTGAAACAGATAGTTAGTTAACTGTTTATAACGAGCTAACGAAGCTAAGCGAGCTAACCGAGCTAACGATGGACAGATTGGTCCATTTCAGAATAATATATCTGATATGTTTTATAATGATTGATCATGAAAGTGTTCTCAAAGCTGGTAAAGGTGCAGCTAGTTTGAATGACTTTGTATACTGCAGGGTAGCTTGTGGATTTACTCCAGGTGGAACTAAAGTCTGATTTAACACTTGGTTATATTTCACATCATTCATCCACATCTGTAAAGTAACTAAAGGTATTAAATACATGTAGAATAAAGACACACACACACACACACACACACACACACACACACACACACACACACACACACACACACACACACACACACACACACACACACACACTAATGCACATTCCAAAATATATTGAAGTGACTGTTATTTTGTATTTATTGATGGCTGTGCTTTGATGTAGGTCTTCATGTGTGTACATGTGTGTACATGTGTGTACATGTGTACATGTGTGTGTTGATTGTGTATATATAGGTTTCAGTGTTTCCCCTAGGTTTACTTTGGGGGGGCGCGGGGCTCTGTTGGGGGGGCGCAGCGCCCCCCCAACAGAGCCCCGCGCCCCCCCAAGACAATGGTAGGGGAAACACTGGGTTTATACATATTTTTACACATATTTTTTATATATATTTGTTATTGTATGTACACACAAACTGAAAGACTGACGATAAAGTTGACTTTGATAAATGCTGTTTCCCCCCCTCTGCTTCTCAGATGATGTCCACCGTCCTGGACGACTCGGCCTGGGACGTCCCGGTGAGAGACGTCCCGGTGAGAGACGTCCAGCTGTCCCCTGCAGGTTGGTCTGCTCCCACATTTACAATCCAATCCAACTGTATCTATAGAGCACGCTTAGAAACAACATTGGGATCAATAAAGTACTTCTGATCTCCTCTCTCTCTAATATGTAATGAACTGTTCTGATTCTGATGCTTGGTGGTCCCCTCAGGTATTGATCAGCTGCTGCTGGGAGGGAAACCCTCAGGTATTGATCAGCTGCTGCTGGGAGGGAAACCCTCAGGTATTGATCAGCTGCTGCTGGGAGGGAAACCCTCAGGTATTGATCAGCTGCTGCTGTGTGTCACTCCGGATCACCTGATGGAGATGCACTATAGTATACAGACAGAAGTGTTGTTCACCTCCTCATCAAACTACAGCAGCTTTCATCCACTCCATATTCTAACATGAATATGAAGTTGGTCCTCTTTGCAGCTCTGACAGCTTCCTCTCCTCTGGGAAGCAAGATGTTGTAGTGTGTGTGTGACGCCCATTCACCAGAAGTGGCTTTTTTCTCTGATTTTTGACTTTTCCTCCAAATTCTGATTTTATTTAAAAACTTCACAGAATTTACTCTCTTTTAAGAATCGCCATTTTTTCCCAAATACCTAGCGAATACTTTTCGCCTAAATGTAATGTTTTCTCCCAAATAATTGTTTTTCTCCCAATAATTTTTTTATCCCAAATTTACTGTTTTCTAAAAAAATAATATTTTTTGCTTCAGAATTAACTTTTTTCTCAGAAATTGTCATTTTTCTCAAAATTGAGTTTTTTCTCTCAATTTTTTTACTTTTTCTCAAATGTTTTACGTTTTTCCTTGGAATTGAGCATTAGTGAGGTCAGACTCTTATGTTGGACGAGAGGCTGGCTCTCTGCTCTAGTTCATCCCAAAGGAGTTCAGTGGGTTGAGGTCAAGTTCTTCCACCAAACTGTTTCCACTAGGCCTTCACGGACCTGCTTTGAGAGACTCATCTGGAACAAAGAGGTTCCTCTTCTCCAAACTGTCTCCACCAGGCCTTCACGGACCTGCTTTGAGAGACTCAGCTGGAACAGAGAGGTTCCTCTTCTCCAAACTGTCTCCACCAGGCCTTCATGGACCTGCTTTGAGAGACTCATCTGGAACAAAGAGGTTCCTCTTCTCCAAACTGTCTCCACCAGGCCTTCACGGACCTGCTTTGAGAGACTCATCTGGAACAAAGAGGTTCCTCTTCTCCAAACTGTCTCCACCAGGCCTTCACGGACCTGCTTTGAGAGACTCAGCTGGAACAGAGAGGTTCCTCTTCTCCAAACTGTCTCCACCAGGCCTTCATGGACCTGCTTTGAGAGACTCATCTGGAACAAAGAGGTTCCTCTTCTCCAAACTGTCTCCACCAGGCCTTCACGGACCTGCTTTGAGAGACTCATCTGGAACAAAGAGGTTCCTCTTCTCCAAACTGTCTCCACCAGGCCTTCACGGACCCTTTGAGAGACTCAGCTGGAACAGAGAGGTTCCTCTTCTCCAAACTGTCTCCACCAGGCCTTCACGGACCTGCTTTGAGAGACTCAGCTGGAACAGAGAGGTTCCTCTTCTCCAAACTGTCTCCACCAGGCCTTCACGGACCCTTTGAGAGACTCATCTGGAACAGAGAGGTTCCTCTTCTCCAAACTGTCTCCACCAGGCCTTCATGGACCTGCTTTGAGAGACTCATCTGGAACAGAGAGGTTCCTCTTCTCCAAACTGTCTCCACCAGGCCTTCATGGACCTGCTTTGAGAGACTCATCTGGAACAGAGAGGTTCCTCTTCTCCAAACTGTCTCCACTAAGCCTTCACGGACCTGCTTTGAGAGACTCATCTGGAACAGAGAGGTTCCTCTTCTCCAAACTGTCTCCACCAGGCCTTCATGGACCTGCTATGAGAGACTCACCTGGAACAGAGAGGTTCCTCTTCTCCAAACTGTCTCCACCAGGCCTTCATGGACCTGCTTTGAGAGACTCATCTGGAACAGAGAGGTTCCTCTTCTCCAAACTGTCTCCACCAGGCCTTCATGGACCTGCTTTGAGAGACTCATCTGGAACAGAGAGGTTCCTCTTCTCCAAACTGTCTCCACTAAGCCTTCACGGACCTGCTTTGAGAGACTCATCTGGAACAGAGAGGTTCCTCTTCTCCAAACTGTCTCCACCAGGCCTTCATGGACCTGCTATGAGAGACTCACCTGGAACAGAGAGGTTCCTCTTCTCCAAACTGTCTCCACCAGGCCTTCATGGACCTGCTTTGAGAGACTCATCTGGAACAGAGAGGTTCCTCTTCTCCAAACTGTCTCCACTAAGCCTTCACGGACCTGCTTTGAGAGACTCATCTGGAACAGAGAGGTTCCTCTTCTCCAAACTGTCTCCACTAGGCCTTCACGGACCTGCTTTGAGAGACTCATCTGGAACAGAGAGGTTCCTCTTCTCCAAACTGTCTCCACTAGGCCTTCACGGACCTGCTTTGAGAGACTCATCTGGAACAGAGAGGTTCCTCTTCTCCAAACTGTCTCCACTAATTCTTCATGGACCTGCTTTGAGAGACTCAGCTGGAACAGAGAGGTTCCTCTTCTCCAAACTGTCTCCACTAAGCCTTCACGGACCCTTTGAGAGACTCAGCTGGAACAGAGAGGTTCCTCTTCTCCAAACTGTCTCCACCAGGCCTTCATGGACCTGCTTTGAGAGACTCATCTGGAACAGAGAGGTTCCTCTTCTCCAAACTGTCTCCACCAGGCCTTCATGGACCTGCTTTGAGAGACTCATCTGGAACAGAGAGGTTCCTCTTCTCCAAATTGTCTCCACTAGGCCTTCACGGACCCTTTGAGAGACTCATCTGGAACAGAGAGGTTCCTCTTCTCCAAACTGTCTCCACTAAGCCTTCACGGACCTGCTTTGAGAGACTCATCTGGAACAGAGAGGTTCCTCTTCTCCAAACTGTCTCCACCAGGCCTTCACGGACCCTTTGAGAGACTCATCTGGAACAGAGAGGTTCCTCTTCTCCAAACTGTCTCCACTAGGCCTTCACGGACCTGCTTTGAGAGACTCATCTGGAACAGAGAGGTTCCTCTTCTCCAAACTGTCTCCACCAGGCCTTCACGGACCCTTTGAGAGACTCATCTGGAACAGAGAGGTTCCTCTTCTCCAAACTGTCTCCACCAGGCCTTCACGGACCTGCTTTGAGAGACTCAGCTGGAACAGAGAGGTTCCTCTTCTCCAAACTGTCTCCACCAGGCCTTCATGGACCTGCTTTGAGAGACTCAGCTGGAACAGAGAGGTTCCTCTTCTCCAAACTGTCTCCACTAGGCCTTCACGGACCTGCTTTGAGAGACTCATCTGGAACAGAGAGGTTCCTCTTCTCCAAACTGTCTCCACTAGGCCTTCACGGACCCTTTGAGAGACTCATCTGGAACAGAGAGTTTCCTCTTCTCCAAACTGTCTCCACTAAGCCTTCACGGACCTGCTTTGAGAGACTCAGCTGGAACAGAGAGGTTCCTCTTCTCCAAACTGTCTCCACTAGGCCTTCACGGACCCTTTGAGAGACTCAGGTGGAACAGAGAGGTTCCTCTTCTCCAAACTGTCTCCACTAGGCCTTCACGGACCCTTTGAGAGACTCAGGTGGAACAGAGAGGTTCCTCTTCTCCAAACTGTCTCCACTAGGCCTTCACGGACCCTTTGAGAGACTCAGGTGGAACAGAGAGGTTCCTCTTCTCCAAACTGTCTCCACTAAGCATAGAACTGTCCAAAAGGACTTGGTGAGATGAAGCATATTCTCTAACAGTCTCTAATAGTCTCTCTCTCTCCTCAGATGTGTCTCTTCATCAGAATGCCAGAGAGCGTCAGGACGTCTCTAAGGTGTCCAGGGAGGAGCTGGAGGATCGGTTCCTGCGCCTCCACGAGGAGACGCAGTTCCTCAAACAGAAAACTCACAAACAGGACGACAAGATCAGGAAGTGAGAGAAACACAGATGCTACATTTCCCACAATGCAGCCTGTTTTAGTGTTTTATTCACCCCAAACCACACAACATTTCTTTACTCGTGTTCGTCATCTTGCAATCTACTTATTTATTCAAACAGTTATCACCACAATAAACCTTATTTAATTTTGTCATACTGTACATTATTTAATTTCATATTCTGTTTACATGGATACAGACTTCTTGCACTATTTTTCATTTTTATTTTATTTAGTGGGAATGCTGATACAGCATTCCAACTATATGTTATGCTACGGACAAAATTCTTATTATTATTCCATCCAATTATTTTGGCCCTCTTCTCCTCCCACATTGAACATCGCAGAAACTCCGTTCAAACATCAAAACGTTCAGCTCGGTCGGGAATCGATGGCTATCACTTTTATCATTCATAACTTTCATAATTCCAGAGATACATCCCATAATTCATCACATTTTTAACCATTGAAGTCAATGGAGACATTCTTCAGACTTCAACAAATCTTCATGCGACTTCAACTGCTAACTGTTCATTCATACTTTCACTCAGAAACCTCATTCCAACTTTAAAATGTTACACATCTTTCTGACATTATTCGTGTAACACAACTTTTAAATCTGATTCTTACTTTTAGAGATATTAAACATTGTTCAGACCTTGTTAAAGAGGTTTTCTTCAGATTTTAACATTAACTAGAGTGCGTGATGTCACAGCTAGAGGGTAGGAAATCTTGAAATTTGCCTTCATATTTCTTTTTTTAAACTGCCATAATTCCCAAACCCTACATTCCTGAGACATAATTTTTCATGACAAACGTAGGAAAACATCTCGTAGCTTGAAAAATGACAAATAATTAAGCAAAAATAATTAAACAAAATGCCTCTTGAGGGCATGAAGTGACAAAAACGTTCAACATGTCTCCATTAAAGCCCATTGTAATTTCAGGCAGATATTTCCTCACAGTAGCAGCCGCACACCTTTAGTTAAACTGCCAAAAAGGCCACATTATTAACCCGAAAGTACACAAAAATTACACTTCAGATACTCAACTTCCTTGACATGCTTCACGTTTTGAAATTTCACAGATATCTGTTATCGTTCTTTGACAAAACGTTCACATGTAAGAGGTTTATCTCTCATTCAGAACAATGGAAACCTTTGATCTCTGCACACCTCGTTAGCTCAAATATAAACACCTGTGTCATGGAACACGATGATGTCATAACACACAGGTGTTCGTGTTTGAGCTAACGACGTGGTCACTGGAGTTTAACAGACTGTCTGAGCCTATTCTTTTCTGTCTGATGGAGACTTCATACTGACTTCAACATGTTCCACCTATTTTATACATTATTGGTGACACACAGCTGTCGTCGTTAGCTCAAATATAAACACCTGTGTCATGGAACACGATGATGTCACATTGACAGGTTTGGTAACGGTGCAGCCATCAACGCATCTAAGCGTATTATGGGGTGTCATCAAATGCCGTTGCCATGGCGACAGACCACTCGCCATGAAGCACGATGTCGCTGTAAGTCCAATGGACACGGTCCGATCGTCCCCCAAACGTCGCTTGTATATCACCGGTCCAGCCCTCAACAGCTCTACGTCAATTATGGGGTTTCTTCAAATGCCGTTGCCATGGCAACACAATGCTCGCCATGAAACACGGTTTTCTCATAACTTCAGTGAAAATGTTCCAAACGGCCCAAAACTTCACAGGTTTGGTAACGATGCAGCCATCAACGCATCTAAGCGTATTATGGGGTTTCATCAAATGCCGTTGCCATGGCGACAGACCACTCGCCATGAAGCACGATGTCGCTGTAAATCCAATGGACACGGTCCAATCGTCCCCGAATCTTCACTTGTATATCACCGGTCCATGCCTCAACAGCTCTACGCCAAATCTGAGATCTCAACATGTGCCGTTTCCATGGAAACGCATCCCTCGCCTTAAAACACGATGTTGTCGTGATACCTATGCAAATGGTCTAAAACAGCACCAGACTTCAGATAATGGTTAATGGTCCGGCCTCCAATGGACACGGTCCGATCGCCCCCAAACTTCGCTTGTAAATTACCAGTCCATGCCTCAACAGCTCTACGCCAAATCTGAGATCTCACCATAGGCTGTTTCCATGGAAACGCATCCCTCGCCATAAAACACGATGTTGTCATGATACCTATGCAAATGGTCCAAACACCACCAGACTTCAGATGACAGTTAATGGTCCAGTCCTGAACATGTCTATATACCATTAGTGAGTTTTCCTCAAAAGCTGTTGCCATGGCAACGCATCTCTTGCAATAAAAGACGATGTCGCTATAACTCCTATGAACATTTTCAAAAAGTGCTCAAACTTCACATGTGTGCTAACAGTCCAGCTGTGAAGACATCTACGGGACAGTTTTGAGATTTCTTCAAATGCCGTTGCCATGGCAACACAATGCTCGCCATGAAACACGGTTTTCTCATAACTTCAGTGAAAATGCTCCAAATGGCCCAAAACTTCATAGGTTTGGTAACGATGCAGCCATCAACGCATCTAAGCGTATTATGGAATTCCGTTGGCATGGCGACAGATCATTCACCATCAAGTTAGTTCAAAAGTTTGCAGTTCAAATATTCTGCTGCTTTTCCAAGCCTTTTTACTTTCTTTTCTTCTCTCATCACACATTCAAGCCCCCAGTGTTCATGTATCATTTCAATCTAAATTCTTCACTTTCTTCTTACACATTACATTTCAGCATAGCAGTCAGCTTTTCAGCATAAAGCATTCCCACTAGCAATTTCTTCAGGAATTGCATTCTCTAGTTATATATGTTGCACTGTTGGAGGAGCTCAGGTCAGAAGAGTTTCATTTCTACACTGTAGCTGCTGAGCATCTGATGAGAACACCTTTGAATATTGGATCTTTGAATATAATGACCCCTCTCCTCCTCCTCCTCCTCCTCCTCCTCCTCCTTCTTCTCCTCCTCCTCCTCCTCCTCCTCCTCCTCCTCCTCCCCCTCCTCTCTCCTCAGGCTGGGCACTAAGTTGATGCGTCTCCTGAAGGATCGTGGTCGTATGGAGCGTCTGGCTGGAGGTCAGGCTGGAGGTCAGGCTGGAGGTCAGGCTGGAGGTCAGGCTGGAGGTCAAGCTGGAGGTCAGGCTGGAGGTCATGCTGGAGGTCAGGTGATGCGTCTGCGTGACGTGGAGCTGGAGGAGGTGATGGAGGAGCTGCAGGAGCAGGTGAGAGGCCTTCAGGTGGAGAACGTGGGTCTGAAGCAGCGCCTCCTGGTGGCCAAACAGCAGCTGCTCACCTCCCACAGCAGGAGGTCTCCGTACGGCCGCGTCCAATCACGAGTCAACACGGGGGTAAAGAAGGACGACGCCCCCTCCCTGACACACCTGAAGAGTAAGATACACACACACACACACACACACACACACACACACACACACACACACACACACACACACACACACCTGAAGAGTAAGATACACACACCATACACACACACACACACACACACACACACACACCTGAAGAGTAAGATACACACACACACACACACACACACACACACACCTGAAGAGTAAGATACACACACACACACACACACACACACACACACACACACACACACACACACACACACACACACACCTGAAGAGTAAGATAAAAACACACCTGAAGAGTAAGATAATCAAACATAAACACACCTGAAGAGCTTCACTGTCCTATTCCTGTGTTGGACCCTGGAGGCAGCATCTCCCTCCCCTCTATAATATGGTCGTAGGTGAACGAAGCAGCTATAACATATAAAGCTGATAGTGATAGTGATCAGTGTTACAGGTGTCAGTGTTTCAGGTGTCAGTGTTACAGGTGTCAGTCAGTGTTACAGGTGTCAGTGTTTCAGGTGTCAGTCAGTGTTACAGGTGTCAGTGTTTCAGGTGTCAGTGTTTCAGGTGTCAGTCAGTGTTACAGGTGTCAGTGTTTCAGGTGTCAGTGTTACAGGTGTCAGTGTTACAGGTGTCAGTGTTACAGGTGTCAGTGTTTCAGGTGTCAGTGTTACAGGTGTCAGTGTTACAGATGTCAGTGTTTCAGGTGTCAGTGTTACAGGTGTCAGTGTTTCAGGTGTCAGGGTTACAGGTGTCAGTGTTACAGGTGTCAGTGTTACAGGTGGCAGGGTTTCAGGTGTCAGTGTTTCAGGTGTCAGGGTTTCAGGTGTCAGTGTTTCAGGTGTCAGGGTTTCAGGTGTCAGTGTTACAGGTGTCAGTGTTTCAGGTGTCAGTGTTTCAGGTGGCAGGGTTTCAGGTGTCAGTGTTACAGGTGCCAGGGTTACAGGTGTCAGTGTTTCAGGTGTCAGGGTTTCAGGTGTCAGGGTTACAGGTGTCAATGTTACAGGTGTCAGTGTTTCAGGTGTCAGTGTTTCAGGTGCCAGGGTTACAGGTGTCAGTGTTTCAGGTGCCAGGGTTACAGGTGTCAGTGTTACAGGTGTCAGTGTTACAGGTGTCAGGGTTACAGGTGCCAGGGTTACAGGTGGCAGTGTGTCAGGGTTACAGGTGGCAGTGTTACAGGTGTCAGTGTTTCAGGTGTCAGTGTTTCAGGTGTCAGTGTTACAGGTGCCAGGGTTACAGGTGTCAGTGTTTCAGGTGTCAGTGTTTCAGGTGTCAGTGTTTCAGGTGTCAGTGTTTCAGGTGTCAGGGTTACAGGTTTCAGGTGTCAGTGTTACAGGTGTCAGTCAGTGTTACAGGTGCCAGGGTTACAGGTTTCAGGTGTCAGTGTTACAGGTGTCAGTGTTTCAGGTGTCAGTGTTACAGGTGTCAGTGTTACAGGTGTCAGTGTTACAGTTGGCAGTCAGTGTTACAGGTGCCAGGGTTACAGGTTTCAGGTGTCAGTGTTACAGGTGTCAGTGTTTCAGGTGTCAGTGTTACAGGTGTCAGTGTTACAGGTGGCAGTGTTTCAGGTGTCAGTGTTACAGGTGTCAGTGTTACAGGTGTCAGTGTTTCAGGTGTCAGTGTTACAGGTGTCAGTGTTACAGGTGTCAGTGTTTCAGGTGTCAGTGTTACAGGTGTCAGTGTTACAGGTGTCAGTGTTACAGGTGTCAGTGTTACAGGTGTCAGTGTTTCAGGTGTCAGTGTTCAGGTGTCAGTGTTACAGGTGTCAGTGTTACAGGTGTCAGTGTTTACAGGGTGTCAGTGTTACAGGTGTCAGTGTTTACAGGTTGTCAGTGTTTACAGGTGTCAGTGTTACAGGTGTCAGTGTTAGGTGTCAGTGTTACAGGTGTCAGTGTTACAGGTGGCAGTGTTTCAGGTGTCAGTGTTACAGGTGTCAGTGTTACAGGTGTCAGTGTTTCAGGTGTCAGTGTTACAGGTGTCAGTGTTTCAGGTGTCAGTGTTACAGGTGTCAGTGTTACAGGTGTCAGTGTTACAGGTGTCAGTGTTTCAGGTGTCAGTGTTACAGGTGTCAGTGTTTCAGGTGTCAGTGTTACAGGTGTCAGTGTTACAGGTGTCATTGTTTCAGGTGTCAGTGTTTCAGGTGTCAGTGTTACAGGTGTCAGTGTTTCAGGTGTCAGTGTTACAGGTGTCAGTGTTACAGGTGTCAGTGTTACAGGTGTCAGTGTTTTCAGGTGTCAGTGTTTCAGGTGTCAGTGTTACAGGTGTCAGTGTTACAGGTGTCAGTGTTACATGTGTCAGTGTTTCAGGTGTCAGTGTTACAGGTGTCAGTGTTACAGGTGTCAGTGTTACAGGTGTCAGTGTTTCAGGTGTCAGTGTTTCAGGTGTCAGTGTTACAGGTGTCAGTGTTACAGGTGTCAGTGTTACAGGTGTCAGTGTTACAGGTGTCAGTGTTTCAGGTGTCAGGGTTACAGGTGTCAGTCAGTGTTACAGGTGTCAGTGTTTCAGGTGTCAGTGTTTCAGGTGTCAGTGTTACAGGTGTCAGTGTTACAGGTGTCAGTGTTACAGGTGTCAGTGTTTCAGGTGTCAGTGTTACAGGTGTCAGTGTTTCAGGTGTCAGTGTTACAGGTGTCAGTGTTTCAGGTGTCAGTGTTTCAGGTGTCAGTGTTACAGGTGTCAGTGTTTCAGGTGTCAGTGTTTCAGGGTGTCAGTGTTTCAGGTGTCAGGGTTACAGGTTTCAGGTGTCAGTGTTACAGGTGTCAGTGTTACAGGTGTCAGTCAGTGTTACAGGTGCCAGGGTTACAGGTTTCAGGTGTCAGTGTTACAGGTGTCAGTGTTTCAGGTGTCAGTGTTACAGGTGTCAGTGTTACAGGTGTCAGTGTTACAGGTGGCAGTCAGTGTTACAGGTGCCAGGGTTACAGGTTTCAGGTGTCAGTGTTACAGGTGTCAGTGTTTCAGGTGGCAGTGTTTCAGGTGGCAGTGTTTCAGGTGTCAGTCAGTGTTACAGGTGGCAGTGTTTCAGGTGTCAGGGTTTCAGGTGTCAGTGTTACAGGTGTCAGTGTTACAGGTGTCAGTCAGTGTTACAGGTGTCAGTGTTTCAGGTGTCAGTGTTACAGGTGTCAGTGTTTCAGGTGTCAGTCAGTGTTACAGGTGTCAGTGTTACAGGTGTCAGTGTTACAGGTGTCAGTGTTTCAGGTGTCAGGGTTTCAGGTGTCAGGGTTTCAGGTGTCAGTCAGTGTTACAGGTGTCAGGGTTACAGGTGTCAGTGTTACAGGTGTCAGTGTTTCAGGTGTCAGTGTTACAGGTGGCAGTGTTTCAGGTGTCAGTGTTTCAGGTGTCAGGGTTTCAGGTGTCAGTGTTACAGGTGTCAGTGTTACAGGTGTCAGTCAGTGTTACAGGTGCCAGGGTTACAGGTTTCAGGTGTCAGTGTTACAGGTGTCAGTGTTACAGGTGTCAGTGTTTCAGGTGTCAGTGTTTCAGGTGTCAGTCAGTGTTACAGGTGTCAGTGTTTCAGGTTTCAGGTGTCAGTGTTACAGGTGTCAGTGTTACAGGTGTCAGTCAGTGTTACAGGTGCCAGGGTTACAGGTTTCAGGTGTCAGTGTTACAGGTGTCAGTGTTACAGGTGGCAGTGTTTCAGGTGTCAGTGTTTCAGGTGTCAGTCAGTGTTACAGGTGTCAGTGTTTCAGGTGTCAGGGTTTCAGGTGTCAGTGTTTCAGGTGTCAGTCAGTGTTACAGGTGTCAGTGTTTCAGGTGTCAGTGTTACAGGTGTCAGGGTTACAGGTGTCAGTGTTACAGGTGTCAGTG